ACCCTGCAGATATATTAGAATCTGTCCAAACATTACCGCCACATATCTGACTCAATAACCATTAAAACAACTATTTTCATTCATTTCAGACGGAACTATTCACAGAGTTGTATTATATTAAACTGAGCTTCCAATTTTCACCACTGTTCGGCGCCAAGTAACATTTCCTCTGTTCACGGAGCAAATCCCGATGATGAGATATTTGTTCTTTCTAACCCTATCTCTAAGGGAGAGCCCAGCCACCCTACAGAGGAAACCCATTTCGGCCGCTTGTATCCGGGATCTCGTTCTTTCGGTCATGAACCAGAGTTCATGACCATAGAAAAAAAATCCACAACAAATAGAAATATTTGGGCAGAAACTGAACATCACACACACACCCAAGTGGTTGGGGAGAGGGACGTCTGGTCCTCCCTATTGAAGCTGCTACCCCCACGACCCGACCCCGGATAAGTGAAAGAAGATGGATGGATGGATGGATGGATGGATGGATGGATGGATGGATGGACAATATGATAATGATAATAGTATTGCGCCTGCTGTCTTCGAGCTTAGAGAATAAGTCGGAGAAGAGCAGAGCAGGAGGAACAGCGGAGGCTGTAGGCTTTGGTTTGCGGTCTGGAGCGCAGCAGGGCAGACACGGAGGATGTGGGATTTCGGGGTTAGCAGAAAATGGACTCAAACCATCCGATTAGAAAGTGGCTCCATTATTGTAGCTAGTCAGTGTCAGTGAATAATCATTTGGTTTGTATTTGAACTTGATGTTTTTTGTGTCTGTAGGATATGTACTCGTTTCCTCGCACTATTCTACCTCACGGGGCCTCTTTCAACGGACACCCCGTCACTCTTCACATCACCTACGAGTCAACCAAAGACACCTTTACCCTGGAGGTATCTGCTTTATTCACTGGGAAGCTTCAGCAGAGAAGTGTTCCTCTCCTGACTCCATGTTTCCCTGCAGACCCACAGTAATGAGACCATAGGAAGCATCCGGTGGAAGATCTCTGAACACCTGAGCTGTCCGGTGGATAATGTCCAGATTTTTGCCAATGATAGCGTGGTAGGCGTTACTAAATGTGTCCGCTTGTTTTCTAGCTCGTTACATCACCAAGATGGTTGACTTTTCATGTCTGTGTTTCTGTCAGCTGACCATGAATCGAGACCAGAAGCTGCTCTCTCAGCTGGGCTTCAGTGACGAGCAGAGCCTGACCGTGAAGAGCTCCGGTACCGGGACCCCGTCGGGCAGCTCCGAGTCCTCCGCCTCAGCCTCTAGCAGCTCCAGCTCTGCCGTCTTTAACTCGGCCTACGCCTTGGAGCAGGTAAAACATGGAAACCATCAATGTGCTTCTGCTGCAGCCTCACAGCGGAGAGCGTCACCTCTGATGCGCTGTGATCATCTTCTACCATCAGGAGAAGTCCCTCCCTGGGGTGGTGATGGCTTTGGTGTGCAACGTGTTCGAGATGCTTTACCAGCTGGCTAACCTGGATGAGCCAAGGTGAGATTATTACAACTAGAATCAACTGCAGAAGAACTCATTAGGAAACAGAACCCTCCCCCACCGAAGAGAATGAAATAAGAGCTGCGAGATAATGCTTTCTAGAAATGCAGTAAACTGGAAATACAGACATTATTTGAACATATAGAATCAGGGTTTCTTTTGTTTTAAATAAAAAAATAAAAAAATAAAATAATATAAAAAATAATAATAAAAAAATAAAATAAAATAAAAAAAAGAATAAGGGTTTCTGCTGGTCATTAAAAGTCATTCAATTATTATTTTTTTAAATTAAGGCCTTAATTGGCATTAAAATTAATTAAATTTGATTATCATGGCATTTAAAATGCTTTATAAAAAATAAAATAAAAAATGTTGTCAAATATATCAGATTTAACTGGTTCCACGTGTTTGCGTGGGACTGCTCCTGGTTGATCCTAAAGCCGTATGTTCGGAACAGAAGCCGAGGCACAGAAAAAGCTAGAGAATGGGAAAATGCTAATTTTAACATAATTGGCTGAAAAACGAGAAGTTCGGGACATGACTGCAGCCTCTCGATGGTAAAGATTACGATTACTTATTGATGGCATTAAAATTATTTCTAAGAGCATTAAAAAGCATTAAATTAGAGTTTCTCCTTCCTATAAACCTTGAGAATGTACTTTAAATCTGATGGTTATTGAGGAGATAAACTAATAATGCCAAAATCATAAAACACTATTTTAGTTGTCATCCATGTAAAGATGTCGTGTCTCTTAAGCCCCGTTTCCACTCTCCTTCTGAAACCGTGCCGAGGTCAGTCCGAGCACGTTAACCCAGATAACTGCTGAGTGTAAATGGCACGCACAACTGAACCGGTCCGCGCCAGACTCAACCGAACCGCGCTAAACTGTCACTAGTTCATCAGTACCTTCTGCACCTTCTTTGAAGATCTGCTCTGCACGCACAAAACATGTTTGCACCAGAGCATGTGAACGATTCCCGCTGCCCGCTCAGGAGGATGTTTGCTCATTCGCTCTGCCGCTCAAAGTTGCGCCAGGACGCTCTGCTCAAAATCTGCTTCGCGCTCACCTGCTGCTCCAGCCAAATTGTTCCACGCTTGCTCAGATTTTCAGAAGGCATTTTAAAACAGATTATAGGCACAGACTACAGCATAGGCATTGGCTGAGGTTTTAACTCAACGTGAATTTAAATAAAGTCTGTTCCATTGAGCAAATACCAAAAACCAGAGAAACAGTTTATTTCAAACCAACAAGAGCACCTATATTTAAGTTTTAAAAAGTTAAGGATAAAAAAATCAATCAAATAAAAACCTTTAAAGTGTTCATAGTGCAACTTTCAATGCAACTTCCTGATGCAAAAAGTAAAACACAAAAAACGTCTTGTACTCACAAGTGAACGTAGGCCTTTTTAGATGACACGATTAAAGAAGAAAGATCTGACTTTTGGGCAGATGGGTAAGGTTGGTGCAGTGTGCAGAAAACAAAAAACAGTTGTTTTTCTCAGGCATCATGTGGACAGTTCTGTTTCTTTCACCTTTAGTAGAACAAGTCTGGATAATCTTTTAGGTGAACTGGAGTGGAGCGAAATCCCGGCCTATGAATTGAGAACTGCTCTGCGCTCCACCATATTTGTTCTGCTCCATTCCACCGCTCGCTCCACGCTCCTCTCCACTCACACGCTCTGGTTTGCACATATTTTAGGATACGCAAACTTTCTGAAGATCAGGGCCTGAAGTTTTTCCGGCCATGCTCAGCCAGTGTTCCCCTTCAGAGAGGTGTCACAGCTAAACGGAGCATTTGGCTACATGTAGCTACTATAAAGGAAAAAAATACTTAGAGTGTGAATAACAGCAAATAAAGTCTGAGTACAGCAACTGAGATAACTGTTGAGTGTAAATGGCACTTCAAACAGAACCGGACTGAGCCAGACAAAAGTGAACTACTAGTTCATCAGCAGGGCTCGGCGCGTTCAGTTCTGGCTCAGTTCTCAGATAACAAAGAGCGCAGACCGCGTTATCTTCTTACTGTCAGCCTCCATAATCAGGAAATTTCAGACATTCATAAAAATACTAGCTTTCCTACCGTGCCACACGATTTTCAGTGATGGTTCTGCTGAGCAGTGTGATGAGCCTCAACGTCTGTCGTTGTTTCCTGCATCTGGACGCCCTGATTAGACCATCGTTAGCCATATCCACTTCCCAAAAGCCGACTCTATCAAGTAAATTCATCAAAAGCTGCCTTCTTCGCCTGAGTCTCCGCAAACTTCCTGAATGTTACGGGCGCCGCCATGTTGGTTTGCTTGTTTCCCTCTAAAGAGCAGTAGTACCGTAGATCGCCACTAGGAGGCGAGGAACTGTGCTAGCATGGTGTATAAACGGTTGTAAGGAACCGTAAATGAGGCTTTATGCTTCAGTCCACCAGGACAGCAAGTGGCTAAGGCTTGAAGAACAGATGCGTCTGCTGCGGTTTAACTGCTGCTCTATGTCAGTGTTAGCCCTGCTGGCCCAGGCTGATGGATGAAATGGCTGCAACAAATGATTATTTTGCTAATTGATTCATCTCTTGATTATTTTCTTGATTATTTTTTTGATAAATGGATTAATAATCGGATTGCCAAAGATTCCTTAAAGAAGATTTTTTACAAAATGGAACCATGTGGAACTTTAACTTTTTCACTTGAGGAGTTCTTGATAAAGCAGATTGACAGAAGAAAAGTTTAAAGCTAATCTTAAAGGGGAACGCCGTTTTCATATGAGTTTAGTGTCATTTGGAGCCGTTCTGAAGATATTCCGTTAGGTTATATCCAGTAACGTCTTCCT